GTCAATTAAACAATAGTTGTGCTTTAATTCATCCCTATCCTTCGAAACTTCAGCTAATTTACATGTATGCTCTAACTCTATAATCGTATTTTCAAGATCGTATCTACCCATTTTCCATGAGATTGTAAGGACGGTAACAATGAACAAAATGTTGTGTATATAATTTGATTTATTTATTTATTTATTTATTTACAATCAGAGGAAACTTTAAGCAATTACTGTGAGTACTGTTGACGAGTACAGTCAGTTAGTTATTAAGCTACTGGAGTTCATTTATAAATAGATTAATATTTTGTCCGATAGCCAATAGACTTAATTATTAGGTCAACGCGTTTTGGCAAACTTGCGATTGTTTTATCAATGACATCATAAGGAACACTATTTAGGGCACATACAACTCTTTCCTGAAATTGTGAGAAATTTTCAGCTTCTATGCGCTTGTTGATAGCCTCCTCACGCAAATTAGACTTTGCATGCTAAATGAAATATAATTTTAATTGGATTTAAATCCGGTGACCGAGCAGGAATTTTTAGCAACTCGCCTTCAACACTACGCAGTGCATTCATTGCGGTTTTACTGCTTTGCAAAATATCGTTGTCCATGATAAATAGACGTTTCACGCCATGTTTATGACCGGCCTTAGCATAGAGAATGTTGAAATTGTTTTTGATAAAGTTTGCAGAGAATTTCCAGTTCATTTTCTCGTATGGTTTTACAAGAATAACACCTTTTCCGTGAGCAATAGCAACCATGACATGGACTCTACGACCACCTGGCAAGTTTTGCTTCCTTTGCTGGTCAAAATTAGCCCTTCTCCCTTTTTTCGCCAAACTCTAGACATCCCAGTGGTTGCCGCGGTCCTCATTGGATTGAACATGTGTATAAACGATACACCATCCATATAGAACGACACTTCATTCGTCCAAAAGCTTCCGTTTCCTTTCATGAACTTCTTCACTTTTCTACAAAATCGTCGTCTCAGTACCCTATCTCGGTCTGACAGAATACCTTTCTCCGTCTTTGGGGGAAACCATAGCCATTCAAATTTAGAATACGTGAAACTGTCCGTCGACTAACAGCGTCTAAACTGAGACCGTTTCCATTACTAGGGACTTAACGGAAACATTCTGTTCACGCAATCGCAGGACTTTTAGCGTTCTTATCAAAGATCGTAATTTTCTTGAGTTGAGCTTTCGTGGCCTTCCCTTTTTCTTGCATATTTTTTGTATTTTTCTCGTTTATTTGCATACTGCATATTCTGTGACTTGACGATTTTGAAATATTGTACTCTTTTGCAATATCGCTATATGAAGCATTGTATTTTACCCTTAATAAGTGGGCATAAGCTTTTTGAACTGGTGTGATTTTTTGCCTGGCATCCTTGTGTAGGCAACTGTGTTCTCAATCACTTAAGTCATGAATCAGTTTTTAATGTGGTTGTCGAGTACGTGTTAATCAGATTACATCAATGCACGACTTCATAAATGATGGCACTTAGACTAAATGCAGACGAAATAGAAACTTTTCTTGTTCACATTACTTGCGCAAATAATTCTCAATTATCTAAACACACTCGTTTAATTTCAATCTAAAATCGTATAATCGTATAATCGCCCTATTTTAAGAATAACTGGAATATATATTTAAAAACAGATATTTCATAGGAGTATGGTCTTATTTACACAAAAGCGATTGAACTTTGATTGTACAACTCCTACCAGAGTAAGACCATGATTGTCTTATATATATAAGATAGCAAATATAACTTGAGCAGCTTAGCAGAGCCCGCACCTTAACTGAAGACGTAAATAATATGCACCAACAAATATACCAATCATATTTGTTTCTTATGCAGAATAAATTAGCGTACTGAGTATCTTGTGCAAGGTAAAATGCATTCTTCGTGGAAAATAGCATATAGCAATTTTCAGACTATCTTGGCCAAAAGTTCGTAGAACGACCAAGCAAATTCGCAACTTTTTAATATACTTGGGTTTTAAAATCATGTTGCAGCTCCCCCCGCTACCATACAATGGTGGTTTCCCGCAATTAAAGTACACAACGCGTTCCAAAGAAAATTGGACAATTCCAAACTAAACAATTTTAAATATTTTTTCTGTATTTTGCGGAAATTTTAACTTTTCTCCGAAAAACTCAGGTAGATTAATGTATGGGTCAAGTTTCAGCCAAGGTCGAAATATGGCTATACCAAGTTGGACGCGATTTTTAAAAAGAAAACAAGGTTAAGTTTAACCTGTCATGGTTTAATGTTATAGATTTTGACCTGGTGAATTTTTTACCGATTTTTATTTTATTATTCGTTCTTCACATGAGCAGTTATATAGCCTAAAACGTCAATAAATACAGGTTAAATGGAAACCCATTGTGCGGACTCATAAAATCGCTTTCCCCAATTGCCATTTTGGTTTAATGTTGTACATAGTATCTTATACTAAACGAATCTAACTTGCTTTGTTGTCTAGATGGCTAAACAAAGTAATATTTTGCTGTTTATGTCAATTTATTCCGTAACTGTGCGTATTTAAATATATTTTGAATATTCGTGTTAATGTAGGTATATCAAGTTATGACTATCAAGTTTGTGTTGTGCTTTATTTATTTAGCATAAAATTATCGTTGCTTATATATGGTAACCTTGTCCGCAAAACGGGCGAAAGTCATAGTTTGCATCAAATATAGAAAGAAAGCTATCGCCATTAAGCCGTATTATTTACGACCAGCGGGAGTCCGCATTGTCGATTATAATTAGTTGCGCAAGACGCAAGTCAATACAAATGCAACAATTTCATGTTGTATTTCATATTATAAAGTTGTACTTTCATATTTTGTTGATAAGAAATAATCAAGACGATGTTTGTGTACAATATAAACATGAAATCATAGGTATTCATCGCACTTGAATGGACTTGCAGTCTTGCGCAACTAATTATAATCGACAATGCGGACTCCCGCTGGTCGTAAATAATACGGCTTAATGGCGATAGCTTTCTTTCTATATATTTGATACAAACTATGACTTTCGCCCGTTTTGCGGACAAGGTTACAATACATAAGCAACGATAATTTTATGCTAAATAGATAAAGCACAACACAAACTTGATAGTCTTAACTTGATATACCTACATTAACACGAATATTCAAAATATATTTAAATAAATACGCACAGTTACGGAATAAATTGACATAAAAGGAAAAATATTTACTTTGTTTAGCCATCTAGGCAACAAAACAAGTTAGATTCGTTTAGTACAAGATGCTATGTACAACATTAAACCAAAATGGCAATTGGGGAAAGCGATTTTATGAGTCCGCACAATGGGTTTCCATTTAACCTGTGTTTATTGACGTTTAAGGCTATATAACTGCTCATGTGAAGAACGAATAATAAAATAAAAATCGGTAAAAAATTCACCAGGTCAAAATCTATAACATTAAACCATGACAGGTTAAACCTAACCTTGTTTACTTTTTAAAAATCGCGTCCAACTTGGTATACCCATAGTTCGACCTTGGCTGAAACTTGACCCATGCATTAATTTACCTGAGAATCACGAGTTTTTGCTAGAGAATGCTGAAAGAAGGCAAACTCATCACATTTTCGATTAGAATAGATGAAATGTGCGGAAAAGGTTTGAAACCAAAGTTCAAAAAATATTCCTAAAATTGGTTCCCCTCCATACTGGCTGATTTTCTGGATGCATATATAATAAAAATTGCTTGATTTTGCTTCCACTGATTTTTCTGCCGCCGAAAACAACGACACGACCAGAAAACGTACATATAAACCACACGTAATTGATTTAATAACATCAATCTGCTGAATGTTTACAAAGCGAAAGTATTTTAGCAAAAACCCTATTATAATGAAGTATTTTAAGACTGGTTTGCACTAGGCAACCTAAAATGGCTAAATAGTGCAAGCTATGAATTTTAAGAAGGTTCAGAATTTCAGAACCCTGCATCTCTAATTGAAAACTAGAAAATTAGCAGATATGGCAGATAAAAATTCACAAAGAAGGTTCAGAAATTCTGAACCCTGTATCTCCTACAAAATAAATAATTATGAGCAAATGCTAAACAAATATTCATATAGAAGGTTCAGAAATTCTGAACCCTGTATCTCCTGCAAAGTGAATACTTATCAGCATATGCCAAACAAAAATTCATATAGAAGGTTCAGAAATTCTGAACCCTGTATCTCCTGCAAAGTAAATAATTATCAGTATATGCCAAACAAAAATTCATATAGAAGGTTCAGAAATTCTGAACCCTGTATCTCTTGCAAACTAAATATAGAAGGTTCAGAAATTCTGAACCCTGAATTTCTTGCAAACTAAATAATTATCAGCATATGACAAACAAAAATTCATATACAGAAGGTTCAGAAATTCTAAACCCTGGATCTCGTTCAAACGAAATAATTATCCGAATAGAGAAATCAAAATCATATAGAAGGTTCAGAAATTCTGAACCTTGGATCTCTTGAAAACCAGACAATTAGCAGAATAGGACAGATAAACATTCATATGTAGTGTATAGAGGGTTCAGAAATTCTGAACATGGATCTCGTTGCTGCAAACTAAATAATTATCAAAACATGGCAAAAATTCATATATTGTAGGGTTCAGAAATTCCGAACCTTGGCGGATCTATTAATATACAAAAATTAATATGGGAGGGTCAGAAAGTTATACTTCACGTTGAAGTTATATACTTAATTAATTGTATGTGGAGCATTATTACCATGATTGAAAATTACTGACTATTCCCTACTACTCTACAAGTTATAAACCTAGTATGTTTAGCTATTAATATCACTCTGATAATCTATCACAGTTTTAAATTGTTTAAGTGTATGGTTTATTCGCTTGCCATTGGCATTGTACGTTTGCCTTGATGCCAATATTTCAAATACTATTAGTATTTTCTTGCAGTTTGCTCTGATCATCAAGGCGGAACTCTCTTATCATAATTGATTCTTTGGGCAAGATGTCTATATATATATCCATGGTGTGGTGTCCCTTCCAGATTTTATCATATGGGATTCATAAGATTTTGCATAAGAGCCTTTCCAATAGTGCATTGAAAATTCATTTTCTTTCACCACTTTACCAAGAATGGGTAATACTTGCAGTTGATCAGATGGACAGCTACAAAAACACCAGGAACCAATGAAAGCAGCAAGGAGATTGTCATCTAAACATATCCCTTGTGTAATGGGAGGCTGATAAGCACCTGTGTAAATCTAATGGGAGAATTAAGCTATAATTACAAAGTGTGCATGACATTATATGTTAGTCATTAGTTACCAAAAATGTGTTGCTACCACCATCTTAGTAACTTAGAGCAATCAACAATTGATTGCAAAACTTAAATGCAAACTTCAAAGCCGATTGAAAGTATACTGTATAATGCGAAACAACAGAATCCCAACAAGGATTTTGAGATATATCCACTACTGTACGAAGCAATATTGTATTGGGGGAGGGGCTGATTTGTCAGTGGCGATCATCAGTTCATTATTTCCCTCTTAAACTTTACAGATTATTGCTAGTTTACAAATTATTGGGGGGGGGGGATTGGATGAAGTCCCCCAGCACACACCCACAGTGTCTACATCCCTGTGAACTTAGGATTCAAACTATTCTCTGGTACATGAAACACAATTTTACACATCAAGGTTTCGGCAATTGGTATGACTAATAATGACTTTGTTATCAAATCTGCTAATGTTGAATGTCTTTTGTTATTACTTAAATTTTTAGGAAGACATCCTTAACAACGTTTCTGCTTTTCAGTGATTTACCAATAACTTTAGATACTCAAGTGTCAAAAGATTATTTTCTTATGTTCTGATTATTTTCCGACGGCTCCCGACATATTATTACCTTGAACAGCACAAAATACAGTTCGTCCAACTCCCCCCCTGGAATAGTATTTGCTTATTACTATTTCAGGGGGTGTAATATTTTAATCAAATAATATAAACATGTACAAATAAAGAAAATTGCTGTGAAACATTGCTATTGAAGTATAAACCTTTTGAGCTTTCAGCATTACGTGATGTAAGGACATTTGAAAGGTAAGGTTAAAATTATTAAAATTCATTTTATAATGTTGTTTTGTCTTTTACTATGAGGCAGAAGGACTGATTTATAGACCAGGACTTAAATATATAAATCCAAAATCAAAACATAGTCATTTCATTATTTTTTAAGGTTGGTATTTTCAATATTATTTACAATGTAAAATGATAAACGCACTACGGTGAAGTGGACTGGGTCACTGGGATGCAGGCTAGCGCTGAAATGGTATAACTCCGACATTTTACATTTACA